TTACAGACTGATATTGGACATATGGACTAATATCAGACTTATGGGCTTGGACTCGACTGGGTTGGGATGTTTTCTTAATGTACAATCACCTTTTCTATAAAACTCGCTCTTATACACATATGAGTTTCGATGGATTTGTTTCTCTAGTCTACCCAGACTCACACACCAGGACTCCACTCTCCACAGAAAACAAACAACCGACAGGAGGAAGCCTCAGAAATTTGGGTCCGTGTGGGGGCTCCAGCCCTGGTGGTTCACCGGATAAGCATTGGACCGTCGTTCAAACCCACCAGCTTCTTTGAGAGAGATAGAGGAGGCTGTCTGCTCCAGTAAAGATCCCCAGCCTCCTGGACCCTCTATAAGGAGCCCTGGTGGTGTAGTGGGTTCACACTGGGCTGCCAACTGCAAGGTAAGCAGTTCAAAACCACAAGCCATTCCCTGGGAGAAAAGTGGGGCTTTCTGCTTCGGTAAGATTTACAGTCTCAGAAACACAGGGACCGTTCTGCGCTGCCTTACAGGGTCACCATGAGACGGCATCCACGTGATGGCAGTGGGTTTGGTTCTGATTGAAGCTCTCTGTAGGGTCGCTCTGAGTCAGATAGACTAGAGGGGAGTGGGTTTGGTTTTTTGGTTGTTTGTTTGCTTGTTTTTGGTGGGGTGGGGGGGCGTGCAAGCAACTGTGTTCAAATGCCCCTGCGTGGGACAACGATACTTCAGTAGCAGGAATCTCTGCCATCCCACTTTCATCACGGCCACCAGCTGTCTGTCTGTCGGTGGAGGCTGGTGGGTGGTGAGGAGGCAGAGCTTCCAGGCTAGGAAGCAAGGCCTAGAGAGCCCTTTCCCAAAGTCGGTCCATGAGAACCCTGCGGGTCACGGTCGTCCAGCAGAGGCCTCCTTTGACAGAGGGGGAGACTGAGGCCAGGAGTCCGAGCAGCAAACACCAGCCAGGGCTGTGCAGAGGATGGGGGTGGGCACACGGGGGGCGGAAGAGATGCTGGCAGGGCAGTGGGAGCAGCAGCGGGATCCCCTGGGAAGGGGGCAGCAGCCCCGTCAGCCCCACCTTTGTAGTCCAGGGGGGCAGTCTGGTTCCTTTCCTACCTGCAGCTCGGGGGCGGCCAGGGCCTGGTCCAGTTTCAAGAACTCTGCTTCTCGCCACTCGGCCTGGCATTGCTGCAGCAGCACGCGGGCCCGGACTTTGGGGAGGGCCAGGCTCTGATCCAGCTGAGCCAGGCAGCCCTGGGCCTCCTGCTTCACCCTCAGCAGCTCCTCCTCCGACAGGGAACAGGCGGCGGCGCACAGCTTCCTGGAAGGGAGGGAGGGAGGGAGGGAGGGAGGGAGGGGGGCACCAGTCACGGCAGTGGTCCGGACAATGGCGGTGGCATGCTGGGGCCAAGGGGGGCCGTTAAACCGTGTCAGGAGCAAAGAGGCGAGCCTCTATCACCATGCACGCCTCCACCCCCGTTCTGAAGGGCACTGTGCCTCAGAAAGTGCAGGGGCGGCCAAAGAGGAAGGCCCTTAAGGAGATGGACGGACGCCGCCCGCGGCTGCATCCGTGGGCTCCGGCACATGCGTGTGGATAGGTGCCCAGGGCAAGAATGTTACGATGTGGGTGCCGCATCTGACCTCTTCTAACGGCACCCAAACTCACTGCCGGGCCATCGGTGCCATCCAACAACGACCCTACAGGTCGGGGTAGACCTGCCTCTGTGGGTTTCTGACACTGTAACTCGTTAGGGAAGGAGTGAGCCCCATCTTTTTCACACAGAGCAGCTGGTGGTCTCAAACCGCCGACCCTGTGGTCAGCAGGCCAAGGCGTCACCACTACATGACGGGGGGTGGGGAGGGAAATCATCATCCCCAGCTGCCCCGGGCTGGCTTCTGAGGGGCTGAGGTCACCCCTACCCCTCCAACCCTCCTAACAACTCTGACACCCAATGCCCCCTCTTTCCGTGGCAGGGTGGAGGACTCGGCCATGTGGAAGTCACAGACGGTGCTCACAGTTCTGGGTTCCCTAGGGAAGGCGAGAGGCTGGAATTCTCGTGAAACAGGCCCAGGATGCAGTTGCTCCGGCAGGCTGCTGCTTCTTGGCGGGGCTGGCAGGCAGGGCCGCTCTGTCAATGCCCAAGGGGGAAGCCACAGTTTTGATTCCGCTGTGTTTTGAAGGCCCTCTAAGGAGAGGAGTGGAGGGGCGAGGCCTTGTCTGCAGCCACCGCGGCCAGCGGAGACAGACGTCTTCGAACTGGTGCGTGCCTGGACTGACACCCTCCCAGCATCACGCTCTGCTGACCCTCCTCTGTTCACTCATCAAGGGCTCCTAGTGTGGGAGTGGTTTCGTGGGGGCTGCTAACCGTCAAGTCGGCAGTTCAAACCCACCAGCCCCTCTGAGGGAGAAAGACAAGCCTTCCGCTCCCATAAAGCAGTGCGGCCACAGAAACCCATGTGGCAGTTCCGCTCTGGCCACGAGGTGGCTGTGAGTGAGGATTGACTTAATGGTGGTCAGTTTGGGGTTTTTTGAATGCATTCCATCCCTCGTCAACACTGGGAAGTGGGTACCCTGCTAGATGGTGGGTCACGTGATCCAGAGTCCTGCCACTTGGCCCCCCGTTGGCTGCATCATGGCTTGGCCCTCCAGAAATGTTGGGGACAGGAAGACCCACGCCCCTGCCGGGTCTGAAGGTAGGCTCCTGGCTGGTCTAAAGGTAGGATGAGCAAAGGGCAGCCCGTGTGTGGCCCCCGGCCTGTTTCTGTAAGTAAAGTTCTCTCATGCTCATTTGCCTGAACACACACCACCGGAGCAGTGCAGAGTAGCTGGGACCCGGGCTAGGGTGGTCCTGACAACAGTTGCCACCTCACCCTATAGAGAAAAAGCCTGCTGCCCTCTGGTCTCAGGCAAGGTGACCACCCACTCTAGTGGACATGGAGTGGTCTGGGCGCAGGCTTACGATGTCGATCTGCCCGTGATATCAGAAGGTGCCTTTCCCGGGGGCTGGGAAAAGATGCACGTGATCGCCGGCACTGCGGCAGCCATCCTGTGGCCACGAGGGACCGGGGTGACAGCAGAGCGATGGCAAGGGCCGGACCTCTGACAACATCACAGAGCCATGGACTCAACCTCATCCTGCTCCTGTGGAGCATCCCAGTGGGCAGGGAGTGCCACCAGAAGCCGAGGACCCGCCTGTCACCCTCCCTGCCGCCCCCAACTCTCCCACGCCTCTACCACTGTGACGCATGGCCCCTATGCCGCTCCCGTCTGGTGAGAGCAGCAAGCGTGCTGAGCCGCGGTGGCTCGCTGGAGGCCGACGTCGGGGAGAGAGGACCCCCAATTCCATAGGGAAGCGAGTCGCACGAGTTTCCTGGCTCCCAGCGCATATAAAAGTTCTCTCTTACATTGGCCACTGTCTCCCTTCACCCACTTTGCTGTGTTCTGTCCCCTGGGAGGGGGTTATATGTAGATCATTGTGGTCAGTTTCCCCTTTCTCACCAACCTTCCCCTTACCCTCCTAGTATTTCTACTCTCGTCATTGGTGCTGGGGGGGTTATCTGTCCTGGATTCCCTGTGTTTCTGTGGGGGTAAGACATGAAAAAAGTGATAAATTATCAGGGTTTCATGAGAGGGGGGCAGGGAAATGAGCTGCTACCAAGGGCTCAAGTAAAAAGAAAATGATTTGAAAACGATGGTGGCAACAAATGTACAAATGTGCTTGTCACAGCGGATGCAGGTGTGGCTTGTGATAAGAGCTGTATGAGCCCCCAGTACAATGATTTCAATTTAAAAAATTGTTTTAAGTTATCTCCACACTAGATTGTCCCCTGGGAAATGCCAGCAGCAGGATGGAAAACCTTGACGATTCCGAGAGGGGCCGACGTGGGGCACAGAGACCCACAGCGCGGGCGCACACTGCCGACAGAGTGCTGCCCACAGACCCGCCAGACGCGCATGGTTGCCTCAAACCTGCGATGTGCACAGACCGCAGCATCCGTGGGTGCAACCAAGCCAGCTCCACCTGCGCCTCCACCTGAGGAGCAGGTGTGCGTGCGCTTCCAGAAGCAAGTCATCCAAGGAGACACCCCAGGAATGAACCGGTGGGACAAGACGGCGCCCCCTGGGGGTACTCACGTGAACACGGCGTGCTCCCAGTGCCTCAGCTCCGCCTGCTCCTCCATCGAGGCCTCCGGCGCGTCCTCCTTCAGCCGCTGCCGTGGGCTCTGGGCGCCCTCTTGGCCCCGGCCCCGCTCCTCGCCCTCCAGCTGCTCGGCCCGGGAGGCCATCTCCTTGCTGTGCTCCTCCAGGATCTGCTGCAGGAAGAGCCAGGGCACGCTGCGTCGCAGCAGCTCCTGGGTCATCGCCGAGCTCTGCAGGCGCTGGACCTCCTCGGTGGCCTTCTCCGACAGAGAGAGGGTCAGGGCCTGGAGGTCGTCCAGCGCGGCCTGGTCCAGCCACTCCTGCAGCTCCTCCAGGGCGGCACTCTGGTCCGCCATCAGGCTCCGCCACTGGCCCAGATACTGGCTGGTGTCCTTTGCATGCTGGGGGGCCTCGCCAATGGACAGCTGCTCTCTTCGCTGCTCCTTGTGCTGCGGGTGGAGGGTGGGGGGGAGGCCAGGAATGACATTCAATGGGGGTCAATCCTTTGGAGAAACCCTTGGGATTGGTTGGCGGTGGTTTAAGATGCTGATTACGTTTCTCCCCAACCAGCTCGGATCCCCAGGAAGGAACCCCCAATGGAGCAAAACCTCCCCTGTCCAATATCAGCTGAACACACTTTTAGTGGAGTCAGACCATCGGGTTCAAATCCTGGCTCCTCGCCTTATGATCTGGGTGGCCCCAGCACATGTCTCTCGCCCTTTCTGGGATTTCCCGTTCCTACTCTTACAAAACTCGGACGATGGCCAGACCCAGCCCACGTAGTAGTGGTGAGGGTTGTGGCTGCGTACTACCCGCCCAGAGGTTCCCAGATGGTGTGAGTGGTTCGCACTTGGGTGGGAACCAAGAGGTGGCAGTAGAACCGACCCAGCGCCATCACGGAAATTAAGACCCGGTGGTCTGCTTCCATGAAGACCACTGCCAAGAAAACCCCACGGAGCAGGGGCATCTGCTGTCACATGGGGTCACCACGTGTAGGGATCCCAAAATAACGGCACGTCACAACTCTTTGAGATCTGCGTGCAGCATAGAACAGAAAGCCCCCGGCCACTTGCTCTGGACACGTCATGAGGGAAGGGCCAACACTAGACAGGGCCATCATGCTCGGTCAAGTGGAGGGTCAGCAAAGGTGAGGGAAGCCCTCCGTGAGATTGAGTAATGACACAGTAGCACAGCAATGAGAGCCGTGCTCCTTACTCAAATAGAGCAGTGCTCCTTACTCAAATAGAGCAGTGCTCATTACTCAAATAGAGCAGTGCTCCTTACTCAAATAGAGCAGTGCTCCTTACTCAAATAGAGCAGTGCTCATTACTCAAATAGAGCAGTGCTCGTTACTCAAATAGAGCAGTGCTCCTTACTCAAATAGAGCAGTGCTC